CTCGCTGCATAGTCACCGCATCCATCAAGTAGGCGCATGGGTTCTACTTGGGTTGTCTCATGAGGGATCCCTGAACATGTTTACGGTGTCCACTACATGGGGTCTGTTTAGGGAAATCTCCCGCAATAAGTCTCAGTGGTTTCCCTCTTCACCAAGGTGGTTGGGGGGCTCTTCCCCACATAAACCACCATTTGGGGTGGACTCCTGGCGCTTATAAAACCAGAACCCGCTTTGGTGTGCCGTTCGCACCTCCCGACTTTCCAACGAGACTGGCCCCCAAAACGCGGCGCAGCCGCGGAAGCGGGTACCTGGTCCGTGCAAAGTCCTCCGTCTCCAGCTCCTCATCCCAGTCCTGCGCCGAGAAAACTTTGTGCGGAAGACGCACCTTCCGTGAGCTGAGCTTGGTGGGGGCGGAAGTGACTTTAAAAGAGAAACAAAATGTTTGCGTAACCAAAAGAGGAACCAAAATGCGGAGGACTCAATGTTTGCTTGCGAGAAAATGGTCCAGACCCAAAAAGTGACGATCAAGTCCGATTCGGAGTTCAAATGAGCGAGTGGAAGCAGATGCGCGTTGCGGGGGAAGGAAAAACGGGAGAAATCCTGCATGATACTCCGCAACAGATCAATATGGAAACCCAAAACGCCCCACCCATTTGTAGGGAAGCTCCAAATGACCCCGACTCTTGGGCTGCTTCCGTTTCTTCTTGTGTGGCAGTACCTTTGCAAGAATTGCCGCCCAACCAAATTTATTTATCAATAGGGAATTTTCTTGGTATTACAGTTTTACGCAACCATGGTGGGTAGGTGCGTTCGGTGTCCAATCCCGTTCTAATCCCATGGTCTGATTCGTATGCTATCTAGGAACATCTAGACACATTGCACAATAATTCACACACCGGAAATAAGACCTTTCTAAGGACCTTCATAGGGCTTTCGCTCCGTTTTCCCCCGGATGAGTCAGCACCTGAACTTTACCCAAACTATCTACTGCCCAACAGCTCGCGTTTGAAGCCTCGGGCTAAACCATCCAGTACTAAGCAAACTAACCGAAAAGAAGCAGCTACCTGAAGTCTCCATGACCCTATCAAAATGGGGTCATGACCCCTTCCTTTTGGGTAATCACCCCATTTTTACAGGGTGATGAACGACTCCAGGTATATAACCCTTGAGTTTCAACTTTACCTGGTGCTTCCAGCTGGACAAGAACGATCACGTCTCTCGAAACGGACGACTGGCGGCGCCTCTGCGATGGGCTCCAAGTCGGCCTGCATCGAAGTCGCGGGCGATAGGCCCCGCCTGTTGAACCTACTGTGTATGGACGAAATCCTTTCAATTTCACCACGAAATGAAGCCATGGTTGCAACCATAACGTTCGTTGGTATTTACAAGGGAGTCTTTCATTTGCTTAAGCTTCCTGGAAAAAATACACATATTTTTCCGAGTAGTGATAGATTCCCTGTGCAATCAACGGGGAAAATAAAAGATGCTCGTAAGCAAATGGAAGGAATCGAATCATTCCAGGATTTCTGAACGGGCAGGATTTGATCCCAGCCACAGCGATTTTTGGGACACCCCACTTACCCACAAGGGGTTCAAGTCCCAATCCGAACCATGAGGAGTGGCCTGACTGAGCGGGTTCCTTTTAAACGGGTTCTAAGAAATGGGTTCTGTCTGAAACGGCATCCGATCGCATACACCGAAGGACAATCATGAAAAGAAGACCCATTTTTCAGATCTCTGGGGTCGTCCCATTTCCAAAAAATAACATGCCCTTTCTGCGCCTTTGGAAAAAGAGAGGGCGAAAACCGAAAGCTCAGATGCCCAGTGGATTTCCATGGGAAAAAAGACATCCTTGTTTGGTCGGTTGACTTAAATGGGAAAAAAGGCACCACTGGGCAACTCGGAAAGGGCCAAAGGCCAACGTTCGAAAGTTTCGAGTCTGGCGATTCAGCTTCTCTCCAATAATCCAAAGCACCAAGGGGTCAGGGCAGGCAGACGACACATGCTGCCAGGGGGGAGAATCTCACTGCCAGGATCTCGGAAAATGATGTGATGCAGGACTTCTCTCCGAGTCCCTGAGCAATGCAAACATGAAGCTTCAAATCCAAATCCAAACCATTCCAAACAACTACCCTCTCTCCCACCAACATGGCACCTGAAAGGGGGGTCCCTCCATCCAAACCACCAATCTGCAATCCAATCCACACAACAAGTTCCCCAAGCAATGGACACATCCGAAAACGCAAAGTTGGAACCCTCAAACATCCCCAAAAAACAAACCCCACTGGAACTCTCAAAAATCCCCAAAAAACAAACCCACAGTTGGAACTCTCAAAAATCCCCAAAGAAAAAAGCCAAAGGGACCCTCAAGAATCCCCCCACAAAAAGGACACAGCCCCAAAAGCTGGACCGGCCGTTCAACTTGGAGCCCTCGCCCTCCACGTTCCCAAGAAGAAAAAGAAAACCTGCGGCAACGCAGCTCGCCGCGTCGCCAAAACTCGCCTCGTGCCGCGCCCATCGGCCGAAGCTTTCCAGGAGCACCGCCACGGCACCTGGCGCTCGCGAGCCGCGCGAGCCGCGCGCGCCGCGCGAGGGATGGGACCTGGGTTTGGACTTCTCCAAGACCTTCCGGGCTGTGTGTATGGGTACCTGTTCCATTCTTTCCAGGGATCCGAGTCTTTCTAACCTCTGGACACCCGGGAGAACGGTCGGTGTTTGAAAAGAAGGATGGTTGAAAGAATGGGGAACCAAACCGCAAACATGTAGGCAAAGGAGAAAGGATCCGCAGCTTTGGGATCGGTCTGCCCATTTCCGGAAGATGTTCAGCTCCAATTGGTTTGGGGTGGCTTCCCCGTTATCCGCAAGAGCCAGGGCTTCAAATCCCCAAACCACCAATCCAAACCACCAACCAAGGGTTACCTGAAAAGTGGCAGGTTGCACAAAGTGGAGCCCTGCAAAGAGCGAAGAGATCCCAGATCCCCACAACCCTGGTGTGATTGGCTGTGAGCCAGCGGAAGGTTTAGAAATGTAGTTCCCAGGAGGGGCACTGTGTCACTGTGCAGTTCAGACTGACCTTGGGTCGCAAGATACGGCATTCATGATGCAAGACGTGAGCAGGAATCTTAAAGCATGAATCTGCAATGGGGAACCTCTGGACATCTTTTGTATTGGGATGCCGCGTCTATCAAGCATTTTGGAGGGTGTTGCCAACCATTGAAAGCTGAGCGCTTCTCACGGCAAGAGGGAAATCATCTCAAGAATCGAAAGGGTGAAACGCGATACCCAGTTGCGGTTGGGATGCGGGTTATTGCGTTCCATAGCCTGCTGGTTTGGACTGCGACTCATGTCGCTTGGACAAGACTTTAAACATCCGTGAAGACAAACCAATAGGACTCCAGGATGAATAACCCTCCGGTTGACTTATAGAGTCAAATATCCTGTGTAAGAAGGAACCCTCGACTGCTTGAGGAACCCTGCTATTGATGCACCCGGGTTTACAATCCGCTTCATTTGACATTCGGGAAACTGTAAATTGGAAGGGAACTCCGCAGAGGAGCCGAAAGCCATGAAAACCAAGACAGGCAATGCCAATCCCAATCTGTTCGCTCCACCCTCGCAAGGGTTCCCTCAAGAACGACACACCCAAATCAAAAGGTAAACTGGAACCAGGTCCTTTCTGCCTAACAAAAAGGGGGTACCACCAAACAACTTGGCAGTGGGTTAAATTAAACAACAACAAAAACAAACAAAAAAAACACAAACGAAGCTAGAAACCTAAAAAGCTAAGGGACTGGATGCTGGGAATCATCAAGGAACCACACTGGGCTTCCTACATTTCCCATTTCCCCCCCCCCCCTCAGGTTCCATGTTAATTGGTGAGAGGGTACCACCCAAAAAAAAAGACCGCCCCATGCTTGATCTTCTCGGGAGCTCCGCGCCGCCTTTTTCCAATCGCGACGGCCCACTTCCGGCCACTGACCCGGTGACTCTGCGCGGATGGCGCGTCCGCAGCATCGAGGAAGTTGGCGGCGGCACGTCCTGGGTTCCAATGGGCGCAGCGTGAGTCGCTGCTTTTTCTGGCCCAGGTTCCCCGTTTGACCCATCAGGAAGTTCAACTGGCCATGGGCCAAAAGCCCGTCCAGTGAACATCCCAATCCCCACTAATATAGACTAAAATGGGTGGTGCAGCTACCCCAAAATGGTACTATTGGTTTTGACTCATAGTCAACTAATGAAACGGTGGCCGTGTCTGTTGTGAGGCTTGCCTTTTTGCGTGTTGGAACGGGAAGCCAAGAGACTAACCATTTCAGTACGACAAACCCACGACCCGTCCGTACAATCAAGCGCGGCCTTCGCCGGGAAGCCTCCGATCCGTCGAATCGGAGGTCGGTGTCGCGCATCGCGTTCAGCCTGGGGCAAAAGGGTGGAGCCCGGTTTGGGGGTGGCTGGAAAACCCCATTTGGCCATGGGTCAAAAGCCCGTCCCCCAGTGAACATCCCAATCCCCACTAAAGTAGACTAAAATGGGTGGTGCACCTACCCCAAAATGGTACCAAAACGGTTTGACTCACAGCCATTTACCCTCCACCGGGGCAAATCCTCAGTTCCCACCAATCAAAATCGTCAACTGAAGGTTGCCGGGTTACCTCATGTTTGGTAAGCGGCTAACACCCTCCCCCCCCCCCGGCAAAAAAGAAGAAGAAAAGAAATAAACACGTTAAGCACCTTAGTTTGTTTCGGAGGGTGCTACCCGAGACACAAAAAGGGTGGACATCCGAACCTGATGCTTTATGGACGTTTCTTGTGTTATTGTCCCTTGCAAGCTTCATCCACCCTTTTGACTGAGTTGCTCTCACTAAGGTACGAGCAAACACTCCGGCTCCAGAAGTGAGATATGCTACTTTGTTCTTTGGGGTCCCCCAAATCATGTCCGGCACCAAACGGATCGTTGAAACGGACCCGGGCTTTCCCCGCCTCGGGGGGTTCTCGCTCGCGGCTTCGTCAAGGCACCTGGTGCCCTTGCCCACCTGACGCGGTGGTCACTCGGCCCGTTTGCAGATCCCCGAAAAGTGACGAAGGTGGGGTGAAATCGGCCGGACATGGACACCGGCAGGGACATGGCTCGGTTCCAACCGGGGAGCGGGAATTCTGAATGGCAAAATATTCCAATAGGGGGGGGGGGGGGAACAGGGGGAAAATAGGGGGAATAGGGGGAAGAGGGGGAATAGGGGGAATAGGGGAAATAGGGGGAATAGGGGGGAATAGGGGGAATAGGGGGAATAGGGGGAATAGGGGGAATAGGGGGAATAGGCGGGGGAATAGTGGAATGGGAAAGGGGGAATGAATTGGGGGAGTGCCCAAGTGCCAAGATTCCAAGCTTTGGGAGGGAGCTCGGATCACAGTTCTAGCCAGGTCTGGAAGACTTTTGCCCCACAGTCGAGACCACATGTAAGCGCAACACAGGGGCATGGCATGGCATGGCCCATGTCATTTTTCCTGGAGGAGGAAATATGTCCAGCAGTGCAATCATTCGCCTTTAAAACCAACCGCATAATTTAAATACATATGCATATGTTGCAAAAGAAAACAAACATATACTCATTTCAGCAAATGGAACAACCCCCCCCCAAAAAAAAAAAAAAACACATAAAAACATATTTTGATAAACCAAAAAGCAGCTCGGAGCCCTGGCCCTAGCCGAGCGCCAGGAAAAGCCCGAAGCCGCGCTCGGCTCGCCGCGCGAGCTCGCCTGCGTCGGTGCAGATCATGTCCCCGGGCGCGGACTCCGCCTGTTGGGCGAACTCCGCAGCCGAGCCGAATTTCCCCGTGTGGGTAGGGGTCAAAAGTGAACCACCAGGAGGGGTTGTCCTCTTAAGAGCTTGTCCTCTTGAGCCCCCCCCCGAAGATTCCCATGATATGGGTATGATTCTCAAAATTAAACACCTTTGGCTTTGGAAGAAAGTGACTTGCGCTTGTTTAGGCAAGTCTGCGCAACCACAAAAGGGGGTCCAGATCTAAAAAATGACGAGCCACCCATCAGCCATGCGGGTATGGGTCAAAATCAAAGCACCAGGAGGGGTTACGCAGGTTCTGGTCCATGTTTCCACTTACTAGGGTTCCAGGTGGGGTACCTAATTTTTTGACCCACAGCCATGTGGCCGACTGACGTTAACTAAAGAACCGCCTGGAAAGTAGTTGGATCGAGCTACCAGTAGGCTTGCAGTTCCCAGCACGGAGCTACCATAGAACCTCAGTCGACCACTTAAAAGGGTCCCACTTGGCTTTGCGACTGGGCTTTCTACATAAAACCCCACTTGACTCTGATGTCCACTAGCGGGTACTGAATTAAAATTCATGCCCATGTAAACTCGGCCAGTGCTTCCAGGCAAGCCACTACAGGCACTTCGGTATGGTTACCTCCAGGTTTTATATCATAGTTCCCCTGGTTGCCTACTATAGTTGTAACTGGAAGCACTGCTAGCAAAGGTAGAAACTACCCATAGGGGAGATCGGCTGCCAAGAAAGATTGCCGTTTGAGAAATAGCTTTGTTCGATACACCTATAGGCTTACTTGCTTTCCTTCATCACTCCTTCGCGGTTCGCCCACCTTGGATCTTCGATTGGTTGTAAACCGCGTAGAGAAGTCTGCCGTGAAAGTGGAGTTTTTGCATTGTTCTTGGGTGACACAGGTGGCTAACCACTTGCTTGGCCGAACATCCAAGCAGGCAACCCAAGCAAAATTCCCCACACGTCCAAGAATAAAAGGGCTTACCTGCAAAGCTCCTTGATTTCCATTCGCGAATTGCAGCCATTGGCTCGGATTTTCTGATCGCCAACATGGGAGGGGTCACATCTTTGTGGGGTCCAGCTGAAAACCACCTAGATATCCCAGTTGCTGCTTTCTTCCAAACACTTGCTGGGAAGAAGCAGAAACGGGCGATCCGAAACCGGCAAAAAAACAACGACCACGCCGCGTACCCTTTGTTGGGTCTCCCGCCATCTTCCCGACCATTCGAGGCCCGGAAACCCAGCCACTGATTCCAGGCCCTCCGGATTTTCGTGGCAAATGGATCGAAGGCTCGGCGAAGTCGGCGAGAAAGGGAGTTCGATCCCATGTTGACCCCATAGCCAACCCCAGATTCTCAATAGGGACCTCTGCGTGAAATGTTGGAGGGGAACACCCCATCTTTAACACACCGGGGTTGGTTCATATGGGGTCAACATTGTCCTTACGAAACACCGATCCCACACGCTTCCCCTTCTAACTTCCGAGCCAGTGGATCGGACCAAACAAATCGATCCCGCACTGCTTACTCTAAAATGGCCCAACCTCGAAAGAGGAAACATGGTGACACACCGCTGGATCTAAGTCTTTTTGATTAGGTTTGTACACATCCTCAATCTCCAGTACAACCCAAGCTTTCAACTGCATGCGAGTTTAAGGTGAAGGCCTTTGAATCATATCCCCAAGGGGTGGCGTTTTTGGGGGGCGTGGTCGTTCTGTTTCGGGCAGTTGTTGGTATTCCGTTGTGTTGAAAGGCGGGTCCAAAAGGGAGCCATGTGAGCATGTGTCAAAATAGAGGCCCCCAAAATGGTGTCTTTCCTTTTTGCACACACACACACACACACCATGAGCCACAATCAAATATGGGTCATCCCCGAGATTCCTTGATCACTAAGGGGGATTCCGAATCACACAGTGGGTATGACGCGAAATTGGAATTAACCTAGTTCTGGCAACGGTGGTCTTTTGGCTATGCCTTTTCAACCAACCCTTGAGGTCCCCCAAAAAGTCAGACTCTGCTCAGCGAAGCGATTCCCCGAGCTTCCGACCGCTTTCTCAAACCAAAAGGAACACGGCTCGAAGGGTTACCTGCTATACTGCCAATCTGGCTTTCCCCGTGGCCAATTTCAACCAACCCGTGGCGAAACAGAAATCGGCCCAGTGATATCCCCAACAGCCGCGGGAACCCGGCCGAAACCCTCCCTGGAAGCTGCTCCTTTGATCATTCCAGAACCATTTCGGTACCCCGTAGCGCTGTTGAGACTGGCCCAATTTGGCGCCCCCCGCTCTCTTGGTTGCTGGCGAGACCCTGCTCCACGATTTCAACCAGAAGGTTAAAAGTCCGAAGATCCAAAATAGACTCGTTGGGCCTCCCACCCCCCCTCCCCCACCTTGGCACACTGGTACCCCACCACCGCCAGCGCTTGCAAGAACTCAGTGTCCTGAGCGGAACCCGGCCATGGGCAATTGAGGCCCTTTGGTTGGCTTTTGAGGGGAACCCAATGGGAAAACCACCATTTTGGGGTGTCCCCTAAAAAAGACCGATCCATTTTGGGGATGTGAGGACCGGGTAGAACAACCTTCCGAACGAGCAGATTGGCCAGAAAAGCCAAAACTTGTTGTTTACCACTAAAATAGTCCTCCTTCAGCCACCCGAACCTCACCTGAGTTTCACCCAGGATAACGGAAATGCAGGTCTTGCCGTCTCACATGTTAGTAGTGTTTCAGCCTCTTGTAGGTTTTCACAAGCATGGCAACGTCCCATAAGACCTCATCCCATCGCCCAGATCCTGGTTCCGGCGCATTCCCAGGCCCTGAATGGTGTGGGACAAGTGTATCGCATCTCCATAGGACCAAACAGATCCAGAAACAGCCAGGGAGGGCTCTCGACCTCGGTACAAAACTCGATCCGTCCTTGCCACCGGAGTCGAAGTACGCGAGGTTCTCAGCCCAAATGATGGGGCGGAAGTGGCTAATCACACCCAGTGCACCTCAAAGGGAAGAACACTCAAAAGAAATCAGCTCGCCCCGAATCAGCTTCCCTTCAATTGGCGGCTTGGATTGGTGATTTGGTGGTTTGGTGGTTGGGGGGTGACGTGTCCCATTCACCCTCCGCAGAAGCCAGGGGCTCAAATTCGCCATACCAATCCAAAGCACCAGCTAAAAGTGACCTGGTACCCCCCAAACAATGAACCGCGAACTACCAAGCAGCGGTGTCGCGGTCCGGAAAAAATGACTTGCCAAGAAACGTACAAAGTACTTGGGCCCGCTTGGGACACCCCCCCCCCAAACACACACAAAAAAAAACAATAACACACACATCATAACATAAATATAAGAATGAACAAATAAATTGACACATCAGTAAATACATAATGACGTGTGTTCTTCACAAGTATTCCCACGGCCCCCCCTTCTTCGTCTGCGGCTGCCTCGCCTCGCACAACTGCGACCTCCATGCCCTCCACGTCGATCCTCGGCTCTGGCCAAAAGGATCTGAGCTCGAACAGGGATCCTTACAATGGATACACCTGAACAGGCTGGAAAAAGGGACCCCAGCAAAAAAAAAATGTCTTGCCTGGTTGGTGGAAAACAAAGGGAACCCCAAAAAAGAAAAAAAGAAAAGAAAAAAGAACCTAATTCCGGGGAAGAACATTGCCTTGTAAATGGAGGTGTCCCTTTTTTTTTGTGGAAAAAGCCATGTTTCAAATGGGCAAAATGTATCTTTTAAGGAACCCCTGCGTCGAAAAACCCAACTTTCAGCTTTCCTCGGTTAGGGAGGGGGAAACCCCATCTGCCCTCTACAAGAACCAGGGGTTCAAGCCACCAATTAGGGGGTGCCGGAAACTTTCTGAGGCGAGCCGAATGGGGCGAAGTTGAACGCAAAGTGCTGTTGATATTAAAATTGATTTTGGTATTGATATTGGTGTTGATATTGGCTTTTGCAGAAATTCAAAGCCACGTCCTTGCAGTTTTGGGGGAAGGAAGCCAACGTAACGGACACTGGGACTCGTGATTGAAGAAAATGACGAGTAAGCTAACCTCCTACCAGGTGCCATGTTTGGGAGGGAGGGTATCACCGAGCTGCGCTCAGCCATGGAAGCTCTGCAACGAAATCATAGGCGTGATTCCCCTCGTAAGTGGGACACCCCACAATCCAAATAATCAGTTTCATCAATCAACTGGGTTCACATTGCACGCAAGAAGGGCATCACCCGTTTTTGGCGTCCTATTGGGTCAAAACAAGCCGCCATGTAGCGGGCTAGGCCAACCCATTACGCGTTTTACCCACAAACTGCTTCTTCGGCTGGTTGGTTAGCCCAATTTTGCCCCCATGCCCTGGTATTCTGTTGAGTGCGCTCCAGGCGTTGTTGGTCAACCAACATACTTAAACTCAGCTTCCCGCTAATTGGTGGTTTGGTGGTTCAGGGGGGGTTTCCCATTTCCCTCTAAAAAAGACAGGGGTTCAAATCCGAATCCAAACCACCAATCCAAACCACCAACTAAGGGATACCTGATACAACACTATTGTTTAACCAACCTGCTTTGGGCCTTCATGTTGACCCCGACTTTCAAGCCTGGTTGAAAAATATCGTTTTGTGGGTGGGACCACCCTAAACGTATGGGGAAAATCCGGGGTTCCCATTAGCACACCCTCGTTGTCCCTCATGGGCCAAAGGGAAACCAACAGAAGATTGTTTGGGAAGGGGTGCCCATAAGAACGGGGTCATTCGGGTTGGGGGGTTCAAATCCCACACACCTCTCATGAACATGTGTCCTTTGGGAAAATAGCTTGCACTCGTAGATGGAACCCCATCTACTTTAGCTCCCCTGCTGAAACCTGCTTTTCAAACACAAACCAAACTGTATTGATCCGGTAGTGGATCTCCCGTTAAGGGCTTTCTGAAAAATGGAAACCCAACCATCAAACCAGCTAAAAACAACTAAAAACCTACGGGATTGGATGAACTCTTCCCGAATGGACTGGCCACAAAACGGTGACCAAACTCTTTGTTTCACCACCAAAATGGCGACCAAACCCGAAAAGTGACTCAAGTCCGAACCGGAACTCGGGAAGCGAGCCTTTTCAAGACTAAACCGATCAACAAAAAACACCCATGCACTCAACTTCGAAACCAACTAAAACAACTAAACACCTAAGACAACCGGATGGAGACCAACCGATCAACCAGAAAAACACCTATGCTCCTCATTGCGTTTGGCCCTCAGATGGGTATGGGTCAAAAATTGGTACCCAAAGTAGAACCCTGGCAAATGGAAACATAGACTAAAACCTGTGGTCCATATCCTGGTGTTTTAATCTTGACTCATCCTCAGATCGCCCTTGAAGACGAGACGCTTGATAAGCCGCAGCTCTTGGATCTGCGGCAGCGCCCAGCGGCTCGCGGTCTCGCCGTCCAGCAGCAGGTCGTCCAGGCGCACCACGCGCACGGCTTCCTATCGGACTAAAGGTTGAGGGTGCTCAATACAGTGGATGGACAGAATCCGTTCGCACCACTTGGAATCCATGACAAACCATTGTTTATTGGTATTTACAGGGGAATCATCTTTCCAGGGTTTCTTAGGTGGTGCAGGATTTTGTCCATCCAGCGTAGGGAACGAAGGCAATGACCCCTGTAAACATTCTGTTGTGGTTTCCTTGAATAAGGGAATCCCCAGCAAGAAAACATGAGGGGGGTGATCAAAAGTTCTGGTTTGTACATGGGATGACCATTAGGGAAAAACAAAAAAAAAACAAAAAACAAAAAACACCTTTCCCGCGAAATGGGGAAGAACGGACACCAAAACGGCAAATGAAACCTGGGAGGGCCGCTTAGAGACTGGAGCATAGACTTTGGCTGTGGCTCGAAAAATGGAGCCCAAGAAAAAAACTAAAACCACTTGAAACCAATGGGTGGCTCAAAAAAACAAGTAAACCAAAACGCAACGTGCTGGCACAGCGTTTTTTTTTTGAGCTGCGCCGATAACTCGATATGTGCCGATACGCCGGCAAGCCGATATCGGATATTCGGTTATTAGCTTATAGGGTGTTGTCGAGTGATATCGGGTAATTTCGCCTGTTATCGGGTGATGTCGGGTGACCCTGGGTGATGTTGATGAAATCCTGCTAACCCATACTGATAAACAGGGGTTGATTTGTCCGTTCCAAAATAAGCAACAGTGGCGCCACCCCCATTCGGCGAGGTCAAGAAAACGGGGTGGGGGGTTTCAGCGGCGAGCGGCCCACCTTTTCTTTGCCCAGGTGCCGGGCCCTGCGCCAGCAGGTCGTAGAGCTGAAAGGCCTCGTGCCTCGCCCCGCGCCCGCGACAGTGGCCATGGCACCGGACGTTCCGGGACCCGGTGCCTTCAAAAATTGATCTTCCAGGTACCTCCCCACAAGTGACATGTTACATGGGAGGAAGGATGGGCTACGTTTCGTCGCAATTCTAGATATCACTTCATCATTTAGCTCCTAAAGGCAAGATAGACACAGCCGTGTCCTATAGCGGCCTAGGTTGGTTTTCCAATTCTAACTGTTTTTTAGGCCCTGTGATCTTGCAAAGGCGTCCTGCTGCAAGTAAAGCTGACCCCTGGCCCCCAGATGACGATCAAGACAAGCACATGAAGATTCCCCACTAAAACCAGGGACACTCCCCTATTTACAAACCGGGGTTCATTGGTGAGGGGTTACCATTCAGTATGATCAGGCAAACAGGAAGGCCCTACGGAGGGCTTCTCTATGCCCAGATATTGTGGCGAGGGCAAAACCCCGTACATATCCGCAAATCCGCGTCACACAGAAAAGGCGAAACCTGACAATCGGCGTCTCTATCCTTCCTCTACCAAAGGGGAGCCATATGGGTTTGCTGCAAAAAAAACAGTACCCCGAACAATGGGTTAACCCCAAAATGGATATGAACCTCAATTGGCGCATGGTTGGCGGATATTTGGATATTGGCATGACTTATGCCCACCAGAAATGTTTGAGGGTCTTCCCGAGTCTTCCCTGTAACACTTCACGGTACTGCCATGGCCTGCAAGGCATGGCAGCCCTTTCAGCTTGCGGTAAAGTCTGCCGTGGTTCCCATCATAAGAATTTTTCTAATGGTCATTTTGCATCCTTACTCCTACTTACCAGGTGAATGACTATCCCTGTTAGCCCCGAGTTGTGAACATGATACGTATATGAGGTTGAGAAGAATTTGAAAGGACAATGAAGAGCTCCGTGTGCCATGGTCAAACCACCATGGATGTGTCCTTGCATAGCAACCCTCACCGTGGTCGTCTAATTTGTCCAACGGGTCCATGACCACCCCTGCCAAACTAAGCTGAATGGTCGTTTAGCTGAGCTCGAAACCCGAAAAAAAGGCAAACGAAGCTTCAACATGGGTATGTGGCAAAATAGCAGACCCCCATGAAAATGGTACTTGTCTCATGTTGATGTCCAAAGAATAACCAGGTACCCCCCAACAAGCACACAGACACACAGACATGATTCCCCCCCCCCCACCCGCATCCCCTCCTCCCCACCCCCCAAGCCCTAATGTTGACCCCGGATTAATAAACCCCTGTTTATCAATATGGGGATGTTCCCCTCCAAAAGTGATAAACCCCGACTATTCGAGTCCGCGCCGCTGGCGCTTCTCGCTCAGCTCCTGCGCCTGCCCGGCCACGCGCACCCCTGGCCGGGCGCTGGGCTTCTGGGCTTTTCACATCTGCGACAAGTGACGAACCTTGGGTGAAATATCGGAACACTACCACTACACCCACGAAAAAGATCCAAAAGGCTTTCTGGAACCGGATGACCTTCGCGAGCCAAGCGAAAAGCAGGTCGTTTGAAGTTGGACACCAGTTGGACTTTTTGGGCTTCAACCACCGGAGGGCAACCAACATGCCAGACCAACCCAAAACAAGTCATTTCATTTCCGGTTGGCTACCCAAAAAACCCGCCCGTCAAAGTCACACCCAGAGAAGCAGCGGCTGCCTGTCGACGTCCACATGCCAAGAAAGCAGCTTGAACTCAAGAATGCTGGCCCCGACGAACCAAAAGGCTGCTTAACCATAGGTGGCTTAAACCATGATTTTGTCGAAAGCACGAGTGTTTATTTAAACCACCAGTGATTCCATAGTAGGTAACCAGAAAAAACCTCCGTTCAACCGTTTAATACTTAAACCATGATTTAAACAAGCGGTCTGTCTCAACTCGTCAAGAGGGACGCCGCACGGAACCTCTCACTTACCCAAAAGACTCCTGGAAATAGAAGGCTAACCCTGTGGAACCTTGACTACACCCGGGATGCCCAAAGGTCGGATCCGGTTCGACAACTGAGATCTTCATCATTCCCACCAGTCAAATTTCAAGGGTAGTGTTGACCCTGGATTAATAAACCTGTCCCATCATTAGGGGGTCTCCAAAAGTGATGAATCCCCACTAAAAGGGGACACCCCCCTACTAATCAACCAGGGGTTTATTAATCTGGGGTCAACATTATGGAACTTCTAGGAAAGAACGATGGTTGGAAAGATCCTGAAGCCCGGCCCTCGGTGAGGAAAAGGATCTCTATCCCAGGGGTATTCCTTTTCCATTCTTTTCAACCATCGTTCTTTCCAAACACCAGAGCCGTTTTCCCGACCTGGTTTCTGGAGGTTTTCTAGAAAGATTCGGATCCCTGGAAAGAATGGGGAAGGTACCGTTAGAAAGCTGGGGGATATTGCCCCAGAAGAATGGGGCTGATGCGCCCCGATTTTCAGGCGTCTCAAAATCGGGGTCCCCGCCCAAAAAAAGAAGAAAAGGGGTGAGGTTTGCCTTTTTGTTTTCTCTTGGGTCAGCCCCAAAAAAAAGAGGGGCTCTCAAAAAAAAGATACGCCCGTTTGAGCCACAGTGTGTTCTTGGGTCCACCCCGAAAAACGGCGCTCCAACCCAAAGACTTGCGCGCGGCCTCCGGCCTCCGGGGCTCGAGAAGAAGCGGAGCTGCGGGGGGTAGACCCAGGTGCGCCTCGGGAACCGGAAGGTAGGTCCTCCAGTAGAGAGGTTAGAACAAGGGTACCCGTTTTTGCTGTTTGTTGTTTCTGTTCCTTTTTATTTAGTAGGGGAACCCTCCCCCAAAAAAGGGGTGAGAAAGGGCACGACTGGGAGACCTAGTGGTCTTCCATTTGCTTCGCCTGGAAAAATGAAGGCACCCATGTCTTAGAAACAAACTGAAGATATTCCCCCTCCCCCAAGCTCACTTGGGACACCGCACTCTTCCATTCTTTCGGCCGCCTGGACATGAGAAGTGTATGGTCGAGTCCAGAGAAACCGATTCAATTGAAAACCAACAAGTGAAAATGAGAAAGAGTCATTTCAGCAAGTGGAAGCCTGATGCCTGATTTTGGGGTTCCTTGGGCACCCAGAATCCGCAGGTATTAACCCATTCCACTAGCTTCCCTTTTTCCTAGGTGCCCAAGGTACCCCCAAAATCGGACATGCGGATGGGCAAAATCCAGCCCGGAGGTGGGCAAATCGCTTTGAGAATGTTCCATGAAACACAGAGAGAACTGGGTGCGGGTTCCACTTTTTTGCTGGGGGAACCCCTGCTCGGCTTTGAGAAACCATCCATTTAGAAGGTTCCTTCCCCAGTTCCCTGATTTGGACACAACCAAGTAAAGGCATCCGTCTTTTCATACTTGCCACATCTCTTGCAGTGGTCGAAATATGGCTGTGGCTCGTCAAAATAGCAACCAACCTGAACAGGGTACCGAACCTGCCTGCAAAAAACGAGGCAATCCAGGATCGACATAAACCCCAGGAAGCTCTGATACAATGTTGACCCCATATTGATCAACCCCAGCTTATTTATAGGGGGTCGGGGGCCCTCCGAAAGTGGTCTGATTCCCCACATTTCACCCACACCCCTATGAATAAACTGAGGTTGAGTAATATGGGGTCAACATGAAGCCTCTGGTGCTACTCCCAGATCGTATTTTTCCCTTTTCCCTCCCGCCCCCTTTCCCCCAGCAACGCGTCGATCAACACGTTGATCCACGGATCGATCGAATGTGGCTCAGAATAGTGGAACCCAAAATGGCAGTGGTTTCGTTTGGTGTTCATTTGAAACAACTCCCAAAGCTTGAGGGTGACCTTCCAAAAATCACAGACCTTCCCCCTTTTTGAAACCCGAGTCCAGGGTACCAGCAGGCTCAACACACCCACATGATTCCCCCCCATCCACCCCCCCTACCTACCGCCTACTCTTCGAGTCCCCACCCCCACGCCACCCCCCCCCTAACCACCCCCCCGCACCTACGAGTCCCCCGCCTCACCCCACCCACCACTCCCCACCCCAGCCAGAAAACCCCCACCATTCACTTTGCCGGAAGGCTCCTCGGACTCGCCCAGCGCCGCCTGCACCGGGAAGACGTTCTGCAGGCCTGCGGGAAGACGTGTCGCTTTGGGGCTTGGAAGTCCCATATGGAACCAAACTCGACAGATCAACCTCGTCTCTTGGGCAAATTCGCCGAATCAACGTCGTCTTTTTGGTATTTTTGGGAATTTGGGAATCCCAAGTTCTTGAATTTGCCATCTGGCTTTTACAGGTGGATGTCCAAATGGGGGAAGCTCTCCAAATCCAAGCATCCAGCAATAAAGTCTAGTCGGTCGCTCGCGAAGGCGAATTGCTTGACCAACGGTATCACTCTCCAAAACGGCTTCATATTTTACAGGGGTGCCTTCAAAAGTCGCAATTTACTGGAGTTCCCCCAACTGCCACTTCGGAAGGCAACCCAAAAAGGGGAATGGCTCCGAAACCGAATCGTGTTTTCGGATAGATCAAGGGAACAGAATCCGAACATCTGACATGTTCCGTGTACTTTGCGGGCCAAGTAAGAGCGCCACGCTAAAGACAGCCTTGGACCTGAGTTGTTTTGGTATTTGGACATGGTGTCTATGACCACGTGGTCAGGGTGTTCTAAGAGGACCCATGAACCGTTTGAGTAAGCATGAACCGTTTGAGTAAGTGAACCCATCTTAGATGCCTCTCAAAATAAAGGCGATCCAAACATCTGAGCCATTTGCTGACGTTGACATTGACCCCCAAATGCCTCAGCCCCTGGTTGATTAATGGTGTGTCCCTGGGTTTAGCAAGGAATCATTGCTGGAGGGCAATAACGCCCCTATAATCAGGGGTCAACATTCCCGAACTGGAAATAAGAAAGAAGCCTCAGAGGTTTACAGGGTGTCACTCCAGGTCCCTTTTTGGAACCTCCGAAAGTGGCAGTTTCAATGGAAACCGCCAGCCAATTGCAACTTTTGAAGGGGAATCCAGTGTCTTGGGTGAGCTCCTGATAAATTGGATCTCAAAACGGTCGTTTAGTGATTCCACGGCAATCCAAAAAAGGAAACATGCATGGTATGTAGGTATATTGTCATATGTCATTCTTGCAGTTGGTACTTTTGCCGGGTTTTTTTAGGCCCCCCTCATGTGGTTTCAAGCTGTCGTGTTAAGGGATTGTTTGCTTGGCTTGTCTTTCAGGGTTCCCCAAGATCGGGCAAATGCGCTCTTTCTGGTGACTCCTCATGAGACAAACCAAAGGCGGGTTTGTCAAAGGAAGAGAAGCGAGAAGCGCAGGACCTTGCTGCAGATTCCTGGCATGTTTCCCGGAATCCCCCTACTCAAAAAGAATGACCCATGTCAAATCAGTCCAAAGGCGAGGCTTGAGATGGCATGTTAAGAAAAAATGAGAAGCCCAGAACTTCCACTGGGAGGGAAACAGCTATGTTTGCCTCCCGTCCAGCATTGCCCCGACAATACGTTGGACTCTTTGCCTTCACCATCTTTGTTCAAGCAAACTGACCCCTTTGGGGGCACCTATGTCTGAGCCGCGTGAGGAAAAAATTGGGATAATATGTCCAGTAGTGAAACCAATTCCTTCAAAACCAGGAGATGTGTATTTGCTTTTTTTCAAAAAAAACAAGAAGAAAAACAACTTTCAGCAAATGGATTCTGCTTCCTCCTTCTTCATCTCGGGGCAAGCACCCAGCCCCTCTCCTCCCCCCCCCCCGGTCCGGCTCCCCGGCAAGCCCAGCCGGGTCCACCCAGCCCGGGTCCACCCACCCTCTCCAAAGCCCGGCCCGGCCGTTCAGCGCCACGTTGGCCACCACCAGCTGGTGCAGCCAGCGGTAGGGCTCGAAGAAGATCACGCTGCCCCTGGGGCCCACCGCCTCGAGTCGAGTCAGGCGGTGCGAAGCACGTTCGCTGGAAGCGCGCCCCGAAGCGCCAAAGAAAAAAAGAACGCGGAAACGGGTGTTTGGGGCGGCGGAAAAACAAGAAACAAGAAACACAGGCGTAGGTGTGCTAAAGTGGTAAAAGGCTGTTTGGGGAGGGGGGAGAATTCACCATTAGGTGTCCTTTTGGGAAAAAATAGAGGGGTGTTGTTTTTCTTTTTCTTTTCCTGGTAGATGTGTTACAAAACCAATCTAAAGCAGTGGAACCCATCTATGTCGAACCAAACTAACCCAAAAAGGACACCTATCTTCCATTCTCTTCACCGACGATCTTTGAAGAGAATGGGGAGGGAGGGGTGTGCCTCAAGGCATTAAACCCCTCACGGCGATTGGGTTTCCTGAAAAGTTTGCCTGAAGAACCCCCTCAATCACTTACCCTCGCCAGCTATGTACTTTCATAATCTCATTCACAAGCTGGTGAGGTGAGGGAAGAGATAGAGGGAGTTAGGTTGAGAAGTACACCTTCCCATAGCCTCAAGGACCAAGGGGTTCAAATCCAAACCAATCCATAGACTGTGCCCAGTGCTCCCAGCCCAGCCATTGTGGAGAAGTGTGTTTGAGGCTAGGTCAATACCCCGCTTCAGCTCAGGTGAAAGGGAAGCCAAGGCAACATCCACCTTTTGTTATTTATTTTATTCGTTCCTTATTTCTTCCTCTCTTTTTTTTTTGGGGGGGGGGGGGAATTTTAGAGCTTCGGATACTCTCCACTTCTCACCACGGGGTGTCCCTTGGCCAACAACCATGCCAAGCGTTGAACCACAATGTCCGAGGAGAACAAACGGGTAAACAAGCCCGGGTATCACCCCCACTGGTCCGGAAACACGACCCAAACGCCTGGGCAAGGGCCTCAACTCGAGGATCAGTCTGAGCAACCGAAAACGTGTTTTCGGGGAAACATGGAAGTGGGCCAACGCCCAAAGAAACCTATCTCTGAGTATCCCCGACACAGCCCACATCAGGTACATGGAAAACCATACTCTCACACTTTCTTCCGTACTTAGTCTATACCTTATTGGGATGATCCCTTCCTAACCTTCATCTACCTGGAGTCTCCATGGCCCTAAAAATAAATGGTTGGTCATTGCCCAAAATAATAGGGTCATGGACCCCTTTTTTTAGGGTCAGAAGGAGACTCCAGGCGCCCGACTCGGTTTTGAGGGCGTGGCTCGAAGAAGTTGCCCCCGCCTCGGCCAGGGCAATAGTGTAGCAGCCCAGGTTGGCCCCCACGTCGATGGCGGTGTCCCCGGATCTCAGCAGCAGCTGCATCTGGTAGCTCTGCAGGTGGTTCATGGAGCCCTGCGGGAAAGAAGCGTGGCTATAGCCCACTTAGACTTACAACCATGGCAAGCGGGCTATAAATATAGCACTCAGGAGACGACAAAAACCATGGTAGGTGGGTTATAGCCATGCTTATTACCCACTTACTAAGTACAACGCCCCCTTTAAGTATGGACTTGTCTTCGGGAACCTTCAAAGTGGTCGCTACCCAAGAATCCCACCAAATTTTGTCCACCGTTTGGGGTCTTCGGGACCCATTCGATTCACGCCTATATGGTGTCAAACTGGGGGAAATTCGGACTTTGGACCCCCCGAACATGAGGCGGTCGGTCCCTTCTCCTGAGTCGAGAAGCCTCCATACCTTTTGAGAGCCCGCTCCCAAAACCGCACCCCCAGTTAACGTGGTCGTAGCCCGGTTCTTTTTGGGGAAAGCCAATAGCGACTCCAAAGCGCCCATTTGTTAGCATTTCGTTGTGGAATCGAATCATTGAGTTTCTGAACGGCGTTGCGAAATGTATTTCGGCCATCCCAGAATATCGCAACCCTAAGATGGTCCACAACATTGAGCCAGCTTGGGGCTTAGGGAAAAACAACTCGCATCATTTCGCTGGGTGTTGTTCTTGCTTTTCTTGGGCATGGACACACATGCTCAGTGGCCAGGGGGAAATAAGGGCATCCACTTTTCGGTTGGTTGGGTTTAAAGGGAACCCTTCCCCAAAAAAAATCGAGAAAGAAAGCAACCCACCGGGCAACTGGGTGGACCAGCTTCAGCTCGAATCCCCAACCCCAAGCCCACTCCGCTTCGCCTGGTTCTTGATGGCGTGCCCGATGTTCACGTCGAAGTAGGGCAGCACGAAGTGGTGCGGAGTGCGCATCTCCAGGCGCGCGAACTCCGCCGCGGTGTCCTAGTAGAAACCAGAAACCGAGCTGGGTGGGTTGAGGTTGGACCCCCAAAACGGCTTCGAGGTTCCTGTTGGTTTCCAAAACAGGGGTACTCACCTGGTGCACATCCGACTTTGGTGGTTCTGTTGTTTTTGCTTTGTCCACCGGCCACTTTTGAGGTGGTTCCCCAGACAAAAAACATATTAATAAAGAGTGCGTCACGGAAGCCACACGAAAAAGATCAGAGCCGCTCGTTTGAATAAACATGAAGCCATTACCGAGGGCTCAAACTCCGGAAACTTCTGCCAAACCTGTCTCTAGATTTCCAGGCAACCTGAAAACGCAATACCCCAAAGCAGGCTGTTGCAAATTGGGCCCCAAGTGTCCACCATATGGCTGCGGGTCAAAATGAAACCACCATGGGACCACAGGTTTAATCCATGTTTCCATTTACCAGGGTGCCCATTTTGGGTACATCTTGACCCACTGCCAGATAAGGGCCTAATTCAATGATATCACGCCTTAGTCTCCATCGCAGAGTTCTCCGAGGCATGGAGCAACCATGCTGTGGCTGAAAGTAGACCAAACCCAAATTGGATTGATAAACCCGTCCTATTCAATGGGGGGGGGGGGTTCATGAATTCCTCCTGGGGCCTTTGACGGTCACTTATTTGCGGATGTTTGCACCGGCGGGCGGCTTTCGGTCAACCGGGCAGTTTCGACCATTCTGGCAGTTTTCCGCAATACCTAGAACTTCTTGCGTCGGAAATGTCCGCCAAAATGCGGCAAGAATTCTCGCTGGTTGGAAGAAAATCAGGCAATTGCAAAAGACATGTCCAAATAACTGTTGTTTTGCAATTAAGATCCATGTTTCCATGTGTTCTCCAACACGCTAAGCCCAACTGTTGCTTCCTTCTGGCGCCACTCTGCAAACAATATGCCGCATTCAACGATGCTCAACTTGCCACACAACTTGTTTTTTGAGCGCAACTCACACCTCAACCAGGGGGGGTGCATCCGGGGTTCCCCTTAACTCACACCCATCGCCTGGAACGGCTGCAAGGGGATGTCCGCAAGCTTCCTGCGCCGATCGCGCCAAGGACCCTGACCCTGTGACTGGGGTCGTCGATCCCTCAGAAGTGGATCTCGTGTCGTTGTAGGTTGAGGGAAGACACTTTGTTTCCAAAAAGGTCTAAAAATCAATCCAGTCACGCAAAAGAAAAGGCCATGAAACGACGCACCGCTTCAGCACCTTGATGTCTTTCCGTTTTTGGATAGGGAACCGAAATTTCCAGCTAAATGTTCAGTGGAGGGCAACTCCCCGAAATCTGCGGGATCAGCTCGGGTCCGGGAACTTGAAACACACCACAAAAGAAAAAAACAAAAAAGAAACAGGTCCGAGGAAGTGAGATGACCAATATGTGGGCATGTCTCAAAATCATCACGGGAAACCGCCGGAGTAAAAAAAAAAAAGTGTTTGCGAAGCTATTTCGTTCCAGACCATCCCAAAACACAACCCGCCATCTCAAAAGAAACAGACACCATATTTACACACGCAACGTTATGGTGGTCCCTTCGCTTCCCCCTCCCCACCCCCCCACCCCCCCCCAAAAAAAAACAACACTTCAGAGGTGTCCCTGGTGAAAAAATCCGACCCGCCGCCCTGCCAGAAGCTAAAGCATGCGCCTGCGGGGACCCCGGGGCGGCGGCTCCGGCGCGTAGCGCATGGAAGGCTCGCGGTGGTTCACCACCAACTCGGCGCAATGGCGCAATGTCCGGGTGTTGGGCGCAAACCATTTTGGGGGAACCCCTCGAATTAAAGCAAAAAAACAAACGGTTGGTTTTTTTTTGTTTATTTATCTTTTTCTCAGGGGCACGCCCTCATAAACCTGATCATTGGGCTTCGTTGTTCTAAAGCCTTCGAGTCTTGGGGCGTTGGCATGCGTTGGCTTCGAAGCCTTTAAGCCGTTTCTTTAAGAGTCCAGTGTACTGACATGTTGGGCATAATGCAATCCACTGGCACATCTATTTCTAACCGGACATGGAGCTGATCATTGGCCTTTGTTGCCAAAGCCTTTGACTCTTTGGAGGTGACCTTGGTCTAAAAGCCTTCAAACCATTTTTTCAGAGTCTAATTTGACATGTCGAGTTCTTGTTTGCGCCTTCGGGCTAATCGATGAGGCCCGTGATTTGTTCAGAAGCCTATCTGAAAAATCTTTCCTGAGGGGGAAGCCTTTGGTTGTGGGGTGGGGGTGGGACCGTAGGTGCCAGGATCCGGGGGCTCGGGGTCTCGGGCCGGGGGTGACCCATACCATCTGGGGGGTGGGGGGGGGGGGGGGGCGCGTAGCAACACGGAACATGGGACCATATATATATATATATATATATGTCTATATAAAAAAGAACAAAAAACACATGATCCCAGGCTATCTGTTTATTGATTTATCTATTTTTTGGGGGGGGTAGTGGTTCAGGTACTTGCGTGAGGTTCTTTTGTGGGGGCAGCGGTTGGTGGGAATCATCTCACACAAGCAAAAGTAGGGACAGTGTCGTCTATGTTCAACTTCTGTTTGCTTTGGCCCCCTGGAAAAACATCCAGTAATCACAGATTCCCTTTTGCAGCTAGGGGAAAAACAGGCTTGCTACACGTCCGCCGCAAAACGGCAAAGTCGAATCATTTTTCTCCGCGCGGTTGGCCTCGGCGCATCCAGAAAGGGCTGCCGGTGACGCAAACAGAGCTCGGGGTCCTTCCTGAGCACCTCCAAGCAGGAAAAAACTCATTGCCACCGCACTGAACTGGTGGGTTGGATCCAAATTGAAACAACCACACCTCTGATTTAACACGACGAAAACGGTGCAAAGAACGAACACCTGTTCTTTACCAGCAAAACGGCCACCAAACCCAAAAAGTGCCCATCAACTCCGAAACGGGACTCGGGGAGTGATGGGAAATCTCCATTCTGGCCCTTGGAGGCACTCAGAGCTAGACCTCGTGACCACTGCTTGCTAGTGGACAGGGGGAAATCAAGGAACACCAAAAGGGGCCCTGCTGTTTCACTCTCTGCCTGCAACCTCTTGGTTGGATCCACAAACAAAACCCTCTCTTCTTGATTATCTGCCCACAAGTGCGTGGTTTTGGTGTCCCAAATGGTTCTTGGGGGGTCCTCTCCAATTGTCGACCGCGGACCAAACAACCAGGCGGAGCAGCGGGGGAAACTTCTAAGAGAAGGTGCCCTTCAGGGAACAACCCCCTACAAATTCACCAAGAGTGAACGTCAAGGATATAGGACACCTGGCCGGCTTTAAATGGGGGTTGCTCCAATTACGCCCTCTTGTGTTTTTGATATTTTGGAGGCTCAGAGCAACCCTGTAAATGGAAACCAACAGGTTTTCAAACATCTCCGAGGTTTCGTGCCAGACTGGGCCATTGGGGTTGAATCGGATTCACCCTGCCTCCGGCGCATTCTGCGCCATCAGCTTTTGCCACCTTGGGCATTCCAGTTCTAAAGCGAACTTCGCACGCTTCTCCCCCCTCTTGTTGATGAACTTCCCGGTGAAGTTGCGCTTCCTCCGGAAACACAAAAAATGAAAAAACAAACAGGACTGGGAACAGAGTGCTCAACATTCAAGTCTGGCAGCTGGCTGAAAACGCTGGGCTTCAAAAACAAGGAGCTGGCGGAACCCCCCCCCAAGCTCAACCCATCCGCAAAGCGGATTGAGCACACTCCGGTTGATCGCCAGCCAGCAAAGAGTATATCTCTTGGTAGGTGTTGGCTTGCAGGCCAAAACATGGATGCGGTTTCAACGAAAACACGTTTCATCTTACCTGTGCCTTTGCATTCGTGAAATGGGTGCTTGCTTGCTCGCCTGCCTGCCTGCCTGCCTGCCTGCCTGCTTGCCTGCTTGCCTGCTTGCCTGCTTGCCTGCTTGCCTGCTTGCCTGCTTGCCTGCCTGCCTGCCTGCCTGCCTGCCTGCCTGCTTGCCTGCTTGCCTGCTTGCCTGCTTGCCTGCTTGCCTGCTTGCCTGCTTGCCTGCTTGCCTGCTTGCCTGCTTGCCTGCCTGCCTACCTGCCTGCCTGCCTGCTTGCTTGCTTGCTTGCTTGCTTGCTTTTTCATTGGTTGTTCCTGTTTATCATTTTGATTTTTTTCGCCAAGGTCTCACAAGGATGGCAGCCCGCCTCCTGCAGACCTATTGCGGAAGGGGGACAAACCAAGATGGTATTGCGCTGAAGTCCGGCCAGTACCTGACATGGGCGTGACCGAGCTTGTAGTTGCTTCAACTGTCTGAGTTCGCCTCAAGTTAAAATCAAGAGATCGAGCCGCGGCTTCGGAGATCGAGCCGTGGCTTCGATTTGGGGTAGGGTTACCTCCGCAGTGATTGCGCGGCTTCTGTTGGCCCTTGCACCCCCAACACCTTGCGGCCCACGGTGATCATGCTCGCGATTCGCGCGCTGCTTTTCTGTGTATCGCGCCCGGTGCTGTCCGAGTTTTCAGCTGCCATCTCTTGCGCCGCCTAGATCCTTTAGCCGGCTTCAGCTACTTGCTCTGCTTGTTGGCCTGTATCTGGACGGGGCAAAGGTGCCCTTTACGAAGAAAGACCTTCAGGTCTCGTTCCTGTAATCCTTGCGTCGGGCTTCCTGACAGTCAATCTCAGCTGGGCCCTTCACAAAGTAGCTTCCGCTGCTTCCGCCAGATCCGCCGCTTCCGCCACCAGGGCACCGAAGACTGAAATGACACAATGCTTGCGCGAACGAATTCTCCTTCGAGAGTGGGCCAGAACTATACACTCCTCAAGCGCTCTCGTTCTTCTTGGTTCCTCCCGCTTGGTGTGAGGGATGCGCTGGCTCTGCTCCGGCGAAAGCACACCGCACGCCGCTTTCGACATTCTGTTCCTTCTCATCAGGTTCAACTTCGTCCTACGACTCTTCATCCAACGAGAACAAATGTGAGGCTCCTCAGTCACCATGTGGGCCATCTTTGGCTTCCGCTTTCCGCCCTTGGACGCAGCTCCCTTGTTGGGAGGAACTCTGCATCTCCGGCCCGTTCGCCAATCTGGCCCCCTCTCCCTCTCCATCGCGCCCTTCAGTCGCGCTGGCCTCGTTGTAGGCTCTGCCAATCATGCATCGCGCTGAAGGCGCCGAAAACTTTGAGAGGCCCCCGGTCGCTCTCAGCTTCCTCCGCACGCAAGCTCCTCGATGGCCATCAACGTCCTCCACCACGTGCGCATGGACTTGCCCCCTCGCACAAGGGGATGCGCGATGCCGTCCGGGTTGTAGTCGCTCTTGTTGGCCAGCAGGATGGGTCGCCTGTCCTCACAAGCCACAGCCCTTCAGGCTGAAGAGGCCAGCAGGTCACTGCCATGCCAAAGGTTTAGTTCTTAGTCGATCACTTCTGGAAAAGCTTGTCGAAGGCCTCGGTCTTCTTGATGACAAGATTCGCACGCAATGCTCTGAAGCGCCGCGAAGACCTCCTTGTAGCCATCGACCTTCTTCAGCTTCGCGCCAAGGTCTAGACTGCCCTCCTTGCCGATCAGTGGAGCCCGCCAGGCACTTGCACTTGCCTCAGCGCTTTCTTCGGATCAGCCGCCTCTTCAGGGTCCTTCCCATCACCCTCCAGGCCTCGGCTACTCCTTCATGAGGTGCGGATGAACCCGCCCTGTCGCAGATGATCTCATCATCCCGCGGCATCCCCGCCGGTCATGGCGCGGCAAACGGAGCAAGGGCGGCCCTTGTCACGAATGCAAAAGCAAAGGTCAGATGCAACGTGTTTCTCAAGCTATTTGTCGCTTGGTGCTGCGGAAGGTACAAATGTGGCCCCGTGACCATGGCCTTGAAAACGCGTCACCTCGGGCCAGCTTGTGGTACACAGTGAGTATGCTCCAGGTAGGGCTTCCAGCCCAGCGATTCTCACAAACCAAACCACACCACTCTTCACCAAACCTTCATCTCCGCCCCTCGACCCACCCGCCCCTCCTCAGAAATGCGATGGGTTGCTCGCGGGTGAGCACCGGTTGCACCTGGCGCGATCCCCCTATTTTACCCGCCCCCCCCCCCTCGCCGCCGGGCGCAAGAGCGGCTTGGAGTCTATGTGGCTCTTAAGCTTAATCACCATACTGCCCCCGCCCCCGCCCCCAACAGGTCTAGTGTCCCCGCGCCGAACAAGAGCTGACAAGGCCTCGCTGGGGTCTTTTTTTGGAGAAAACAACAGGGAGGTGGGAGCTGGGCGTTGGATTCTTACGATCAAAATGCGCCAAGTTCCTTGCCAGTTCCATGACCATCCCTACCCCAAGTAAAGCGTTTGATTCTGGCACAAATCTAGGCAAGCTTCGAAGAAAGAAACCCCGCACAAAGGACTTGCCATGACAGGTTTTAAGTCCAGGATCGGATTGGGCAAGCAATTGGCGGTTGCACAACAAAACAAAAACGCACCTTTCCAACTCTTGGTTTATGTCTGCTTTGCAATCAGCCCACCTCCGTTGTTCAGTGACCCTGGAAAAAAGGGAACTCTTTTTGGGGAAGACCATTTTTAGTGGGGCAGACACCAAAAAAAGAGAAAAATAATTGGTGCCACTGAACAACTGAGCCACTGAACATGATACACAACAAACCAAGAACAGCACCTAAACCTCTGGGCAGGGCACTCCAAACATGCCAACACTGAGTTGCTGCAGGGTTGGCCCACCTTGCGGTTCAAACAGAAAAGCAAAAACAAATTCAAATAGTCAAAGAAACACAACCAAACGAACAGAGCCAAAAGACTGGAAACAAAGAACAACGCCAAAACCAACAAGCACAAGAAACAAAAAGCAACGAGCCCAAAAACAAAATCAAAAAACAACTGCCCCCCCCCCCCCCCCCGCCCATCCCCCCCAAAAGAAAATCAAAAAAACAAGACAAAAACGGAAGGAACAACATCAACAAAAACACCAGGCAAAACAACAAGATTGCCAAGCTCCTTCTTAACCTCTATTTAACTCTATTTGCTTACTTCCCCTGGAGAAAACACAATGTCCAGCAGCGAAATCGCTTCGAAACCGAAACCAAGCAGGCGGAAAAAAAACTTCTGAGGCAAATGGACGTTGTTTTTCTTTTAGTGCTTTTGTTTTTTTAGTTTGTTATTTTTTTTAAACAAGTCGCTGACCGGGCACCTCCGCACGCACGTCCTTGGTCTCGTTGGGGCAGTTGGCGTCGAAGCCTTCGCTGGCGCAGCGCAGGCAGTCGCGGGCCACAGGGCCACGGCAGCCCCGGTGCACCAGGTGCCAGTGGTCCGGATACCTCTGGAGTCATCCAGGGAGGGTCCGGGGAGGTCCGAGTTCCCGAAACCTCCCCAAGGAACCCTGAAAAAAAACCGAAGGAAATGCGAGGAACCCTAAGGAATCCAAAAAAAACTGAAGGAAATGCGAGGAACCCAAAGGAACCCTGAAAAAAACCCGAAGGAAATGCGAGGAACCCAAAGGAACCCTGAAAAAAAAACGAAGGAAATGCGAGGAACCCAAAGGAACCCCGAAAAAAAAAAGAAAAAAAACGAAGGAAATGCGAGGAACCCAAAGGAATCAAAAAACAACGAAGGAAATGCGAGGAACCCAAAGGAACCCTGAAAAAAGACCCGAAGGAAATGCGAGGAACCTAAGGAATCAAAAAAAAAAGGAAACGTAGGAAATGCGAGGACCCTAAAGGAACCCTGAAAAAAAACGAAGGAAATGCGAGGAACCCTAAGGAATCCAAAAAAAACTGAAGGAAATGCGAGGAACCCAAAGGAACCCTGAAAAAAACCCGAAGGAAATGCGAGGAACCCAAAGGAACCCTGAAAAAAAAACGAAGGAAATGCGAGGAACCCAAAGGAACCCCGAAAAAAAACGAAGGAAATGCGAGGAACCCAAAGGAACCCTGAAAAAAAACCCGAAGGAAATGCGTTTGAAAAAATTGGAAATGAAGAAGGAACCTAAGGAATCAAAAAAAAAAGGAAACGTAGGAAATGCGAGGACCCAAAGGAACCCTGAAAAAAACAACGAGGAACCCAAAGGAATCAACAAAAAAAACGAAGGAAATGCGAGGAACCCAAAGGAACCTGAAAAAAACCCGAAGGAAATGCGAGGAACCTAAGGAATCAAAAAAAAGGAAACGTAGGAAATGCGAGGACCCAAAGGAACCCTGAAAAAAAGCAAAGGAAATGCGAGGAACCCAAAGGAACCCTGAAAAACAACCCAAAGGAAATGCGAGGAACCCAAAGGAACCCTGAAACAAAAACCGAAGGAAATGCGAGGAACCCAAAGGAACCCTGAAAAAAGAACGGGAAAAAGGAACCTGAAAAAAACGAAGGCGAGGAACCCAAAGGAAGGCGAATGAAACAAAAACCGAAGGAATGCGAGAACCCAAAGGAACCCTGAAAAAAAAACGGAAGGACTTGCGAGGAACCCAAAGGAATCCAAAAAAGAAACCGAAGGAAATGCGAGGAACCCTAAGGAACCCTGAAAAACAACCCAAAGGAAATGCGAGGAACCCAAAGGAACCCTGAAACAAAAACCGAAGGAAATGCGAGGAACCCAAAGGAACCCTGAAAAAAGAACGGAAGGACATGCGAGGAACCCAAAGGAATCCAAAAAAGAAACCGAAGGAAATGCGAGGAACCCTAAGGAACCCTGAAAAACAACCCAAAGGAAATGCGAGGAACCCAAAGGAACCCTGAAACAAAAACCGAAGGAAATGCGAGGAACCCGAAGGAACCCTGAAAAAAGAACGGAAGGAAATGCGAGGAACCCAAAGGAATCCAAAAAAGAAACCGAAGGAAATGCGAGGAACCCAAAGGAATCCAAAAAAGAAACCGAAGGAAATGCGAGGAACCCAAAGGAACCCTTTAAAAAAAAAGGTAGGAAATGCGAGGAACCCAAAGGAACCCTGGAAAAATCCGTGTTCAGAGCTCAGGGCCGCGCTCTGGAGTCGTAGCACGAGTTTTCAAGCGTCCTGCGGCAAGAGTTTTTGACCAGCTGGGCCGCAAGAATTTCGCCAACCCCGTCAAGCGGGGCGGGGTCGAAGTTGTTCCGGCCTCGCGGACAACGCTTCAACAACGTAAATTTCGCAGACCCCCGCGGAAACTCAATTAAAACCCTAGCAAACGAAAGACAAGCTGGCCGTTCCTTCCGATCGGCCTCCCTCGAAACTTCTAGATTTTTCGTCTTAAGTGGGGCGAAGCGGACGAAAAAAGAGCGAGCTTTCCTAGTTGCTCCCCAAAAATCCCAGTGGAAAGTCGGGCCGAGGGTGCCCGCAAAAGGAGCAACGCTGGGCGCGCGGCGCAAGGAATCTTCGCCTGCGCGCAAAGGAAGAGTTGGCGGGGCAAACAAATCGCAATTCTGAGTTCGCCGCCAAAAGCTTCCGCAGCAACTGGCGGCGCGTCGCCGCCTGACAGCCGCGCTTGCCTGCCAATTGCGCACGCAAGCACAAGGCTCCCGCGCGCTTGCGGGGGCGTCGCAGCCCGACGCCCTCACAGTGAGAGCGAGGCGAGCTTCTTCCAGGCCTCGGCCATGCGACGCTTTCTACAACAAGCGCTCAAGCCCGGGCGGGCGCTAGGGCGCTGACCACGGCGTGCCCAAAGCGATTCTTCTCCTAAAGCAGCAAGCGCCTGGGCGCAAGTCCGCAAGGCGTTGTTCTTTTTGACGTGTCTTTCTTGCGCTTCTTTTCTGCTTTTCGCTGAAAACACTAAGAGCCGCGCCGCGCGGCCGCTGCGGCACTTGCGGAGAAGGCCAATACCCTGGCAGAGGCGAGCGTCACACACGACTCGAGCGAAACGCGGCGCCTCGCCGCGCGCACGCCTGGGCCTGTCAAGCACCGAAAATTTCCCCCGCGCAACGCAATGCAAGACAACGCGAGCATAGACACGCAAGCTCGCGCGCACCTCCAAAACCCGCGAGCCTGCGAAACAAGCGCAGACGGAGTTGCGCAAGCAAGCTTGACCGCGCCTGGGCTCGCTGGAACAAGCTCGCCAAGATCAGGAATGCGACCAGTTCCATCATTGCGAGAAGCGGCGCGGGCTCTTGTGTCGGAGTTGCGATCGCTAGCTTTTCCGGAATACTCTCTTTCGGATGGCGAATGGGAGGGAACAAGCTTATTCGGCGGAAGCTGCGATCTAAACATCTTCGTTGATTGCCGAAAAATCGGTCATTGGCTTTTAGTGCGTTTACTGACACAATCTTGACTGCGTTTGGGAAACGCTCCTGTCTTCTGCTTGTATTTGTCACAGATTTTAACAGGGCGCACAAGATTAAACTAACAAAACTTTCAAAAGACCTAGCGTTCCATGTTGAGGTTGCGAACTCTGACGGAAGACAGCGACTTTTAGACATCGCAAGCTTGATAGATAAACGCAATTCAAAGTGCCACTAAATTGTTATTAGAACCCGTACTGGGACCTACTTTTTGTTCTGAATCTTTCGGTGAATTCGGCAAAATTTGAGTTGTCACGAGCGCTTTGTTTGTCATAAATATTATTGACGAGCGATCGCTTGAGTTTTGAATCAATTTGTCTAGAGCAATTTCGATCGGTCTCTCTCTCTCTCTCTCACTCTCTCTCTCTCTCTCTCCCTCTCTCTCTCTCTCTCTCTCTCTCTCTCTCTCTCTCTCTCTCTCTCTCTCTCTCTCTTACACTTACTTGGTGGTGGTGGTGGTGGTGGTGGTGATGGTGGTGGTGGTGGTGGTGCGTGAAGGCATGATTCGCAGCAGCTGTTGACCCAAGTTGAACTGGAGCCAGGCAAGGCGCGGCAGAAGCAATCAACAACAAGAAGCGAAGCCGAATAGCCGGTCCCGCCACTCAAGCGTTTTTCCAGACCATATCGGTAGTTTGAACTATGTCAAGGTTCCCCGCCTTTAACACGATCATCCAAGTGTTTCGGCGCCACGATTTATTTCAAGTTCAGACCTCGAAAACTCCTGGCAAAAACCCCGATCCAAGTCTGAGGGGCGGGCAGGTCAGGAATCCTTAGATCAGATCCTTCTTTTCTCCAAAGCCTCAGAATTTCTGGAAATGCGAGGAACCCAAAGCAACCCTGAAAAAAACGGAAGGAAATGCGAGGAACCCAAAGGAACCCAAAGGAACCCTTAAAAAAAACCGAAGGAAATGCGAGGAAACCAAAGGAACCCCGAAAAAAGGGGGGAAAAAGAACGAAGGAAATGCGAGGAAATCAAAGGAACCCTGAAAAAAAAACCGAAGGAAATGCGAGGAACCCTAAGGAACCCTGAAAAAAACCCGAAGGAAATGTGAGGAACCCTAAGGAATCCCAAAAAATACAAGGAAATGTGAGGAAACCTAAGGAGCCCTTAAAAAACCCAAGGAAATGTGACGAAACCCAAGGAGCCCGAAAAAAATAACCAAGGAAATGCGAGGAACCCTCAACGACTAACTGTCCCACAGAGGGATTCCATACCTCAAAGAAAGGGGGCCTCGTGTCCACCAACCGACTTAGATGTATCTTGGGCTGGAATTGTTTGGCCCAAAACAATGCGAAATGGGCAAAGGCGAAATGGATGTGTACATTTTTTGGAATCTTTGAGGGTGGTCTTTGGCCCAGAAACGAACGAAAAACGAAGAAACGAATGGCCTGGACCAACCCACCCCTCCTGAAAATATCCTAGTCTGGATGTCAAAAAGAAACGGGGGCGCAAAAGGCGAACATGGGCGCGAGTTAATTGGGTTGCGGTCCCAGGGGATTCATGCCCACAACCACTTTCAAAGGGAAACACAAAATGAGCCTGTAAAAATAAATAGTTTAATAATATGGGCCGGGGAATGTCACACCTTCAAAACAAAAACGAGTGGGTGCCCTGGAAAGCGTTCGGGAGTTTCGGCGGACATTCAGTTTGCCTCAGCTTCTTTTCAGACCACGAGAGTCAACATCCATTCTGAATGGTCCAGGTGTTTTTTCCCTAAGACTTGATCAGCCTTAGCCATTTGAACGGGTCTCCTCTATTCTTCCCACAACTTGATGAACCTCAGCCCTTTGGGGGCTTTGGCTTTGGGGGGGGAGGTGTTGGGGGGGGGGGCGACCGGGCGACTTCTCTGAACTTCAGCTTTCCGCCACGGCTTTTGGTCTTGGGGCGGAAGGAGCGCGGCTTGGGGAAACCCCCAGAGCGATTGCTTCAAATCCCAGAGGCTCCCGCGGGTGGTCTGATACAAATCCCCATGGCGAGGGTGTCTTTTCTGAGGCTACCCCCCGTTTTGGTCGGGTTTAAAAGGGAAGCCAAAAGGAAAGCCATTTTGCTTGTTTGAGACGCCCTAAAAAAACAGACACACCCATACCCAAAACACA